CCCTCTCTCCTCCTTAATCACAGAATGGTTTGAATGAAGGTTTCGCCGCTGCAAATCTCCGTCTCCGTAGCTTAATTATTGTACGTGTTGAACTATATTTTCAGAACTGTGCGAAGTTAGCAGGCGCGAGTGTCGGATAAATAGAATTTGAATTAATAGCGTGCCGGAGTTTACGGTATTCTTTGTGCAGTATGTACATGTCTCCGCCCATCTCTCTACCGGAAGGGGTGTCGAGGGAGGCTGGCAGGATCCCGAACATCTGGAGCACGACCAACAGCGGCCGCAGCTGGGTGTACAGCGCGGACGTTCTGTGCACCCCAGCCCCGGCACGAACCCTGCCGCCGCCCGACCCGCCGCCCATTTGGGGAGTTGCTGGCTGCACCGCACTCCTGAAACCATAGTGGAAATTAATGTGTCCAGTGTTCAGCAGGTAGGCGAGAGGACTATGTCGCCTTACCACAAATCCCAACTAATTTAATTCAGCGGCCTACTGGACACTGCTCTTCTGGTTTGCAGGGTAACTACACGGTTCACGGTAAAAAGAATGTCTTGACAGCCGAGGAAATTTATTGGATTTCAAGGTCGGGTGGATAATTTCAAGATTAGCCCTTGAAATCCCAGACTCTGCCTTGAAACCTGCAGCTTCCAAGGGAAAGCCTAGAAATTTCCTCGGTTTTTTTTTTACCGTGTTGTAATGGACTAAGTGCTCGAGGATTTATACCGTGTGTCTGTCAAAGCCACGGCACCGCCGGGTAGACTACCGAGTTTTTCATAAAAGACGTGGGTGGGACACCCAATAATACAACTTGATATGGTGTAATACCGATCACCCCCTCAGCCGAGTTCTGATGTGACGGAAACACGCGCGGCCAGCGGCCACCTTACTCAGGAACTGAGACTGAGCGCCAGGTACACTCTGCGACCAGAGGAGCGACCAGTAGAGCGATCAGCAGAAATATCAGCAGAGCGATCAGCAGAAATATCAGCAGAGCGATCAGCAGCGCGATCAGCAGAGCTATCTGCGGTCCCTCAACGATACACGACGGTTAGTTCTCCATCCCCTTGATTGGGTGAGGGACCAGGGGAGCAGGTCGAAATGAAAGTATGCTGGCTGATTCGGATGGATAGATTTGTCTTAATTGTCATCGGATCGGGCGTCGGGCTTTACGGATCGTTCAGAGAGATCTACTTTTGTGGTAGTCGTGTGTGGCCGCGGCTTCTAGACGCTAACATGCGGGAATAATGCACGTCTTTTAGTTTGGATGTGCGCACCGCCAGGAAAGAACGAAAATTCCGATTTGAAACAGTTCTGGAGGTAGGTTATATGGTGCTTTGTTGTGTTTCGAACCACGCTCCACCATTTTGTCCAACAAGTACCAGAAGTGCGCCGAACTCCCGGAACTATTTCAGTTCTCCTGTTTTCTCTAATTGTCTGCGGTTTGGTTTTCTGCGTTGGCGTCGCCGTACACATAGCGAGCCTCCGACCAGCACCCTATGGAGGCAGGCGGGCGCCGAGAGTGATGATGATGTCGTGGAGACGCAACTCGATGTAACATCACGTACGTTACGTAATTCGTGTACAACATTTGTCTGTCTGTCTATCTGTTTGTCTGTGTGTCTGTCTAACTGACTGACTGTCTGTCTGGACACACTAAATAGAGAACGGATTGAGCCAGAGATCTGAAATTTTCAGTGTCGCTTCTTATCACGAAAAGCCATGCAGAACTGTATAGAAACTGGGTTCTCTAGCTCTAAAAACGTCAACAACGACAACAGAAAACATTTGAAGTCAACACACCTGAAGATGTGCGACATAATTTTTACACACATACTGACAGATGTGTGGATGACCATATTCACACACCTCGGGACGAAAAAATTGATAACTTTTAGAGTGTACAAATCTCACTTCACAAGTTTGTGAATATTTTGGCAGACACCTGCCGGTGTGTGAATTCGCTGACTCAACTGCACGTGAGTTCAGATTTATTAGTTATAAACATAGGTTTGATTTGAATAATTGGTTTAATGGTCACTAACACAGAGCGAGAACACTTCACAAAAAGTCCGGGAAAATGAGAGTCGGACAGACAGCTACTATACAAAGCGATATTGCACAATGGGTTGGGGTTGGGGGTGAAGTCTCAGCACTGACAACGGTATGAAAATGAGACGTTTGAGGACATGAGCGTACGGAGGTGTCGTGAATATGGATATGATACGACTCAGAGAAATTAACCACGATCAGTTAAAACCCTTTTGAGAAGTCAAGCGACAGACGGCAGCTTGTCGAACTTCTTCGTGGAGATCTCCGAGGAGAGAGTGAACTGGGAAAGCACGACAACGTACGTGCACGCCAGCGAGAAGAACTGCAATAGAGAAGCAGGAAAGTGAATTTGTGAAATTTGTGTAAGTGAAATTGAATATATTTCATAAAAGAACACATTAAACCTTATCTATTTTTTTTCTTTGTTGAACCTAATTTTAAGTTCTTAGAATATTGCCAACACTGAAATATGCATTCTATCGAAAAGTTGGGCTGTGTGCGAATCGAATCGAATCCGTCATAAAATCTTCGAGCGTGTGAGGGTGGGTTTCAAATCCGTTATTGGTTTAAGATAGGAACAAGAAACCTTTTAATCATTTCCCCGATTCAAATATAATACTCGATTAAAATGCTGCTTTATTAGCAGTGGATCGAAGACGATTCTGGAAAGATTCAATTCGATTTAGATTTGAATTGACTCTTAGAGGAAGGTGGTCCTACCGAGAGCAGCGAGGCACGGCTAAGGACACCGAGCTTGCAGACCGTGAGGCATTGTCGCTCGACTCGAATGTTGTCCAAGAAGGAAATAATCTGGAAAGAGCAAATCCAAATGAGCAGATACTTACAAATAGACTCGGAAATGTGAGGGGGCAACCAGTCAAATACAAGGGTTTTTGGGAGATAATTTATTCTAAAAAAAGAAACCACAAAAAACTAAGAATAGCAGCTATATGAACGACAAACCTGTTGTTGGAAATAAATTGGGCCATAGTTTAAACTATGTGGAAGAAGTACCCCTTCTGGAACATATGGCCTTTATTGCTTAAACGTCGCTTAAACAGGACACGTAAACTTCCTTTTAGCGTGCACGATTCGATTCCGGCCAAACGAATGGAGTGCGACATTGAAAACATTGCCATTTACTTTCAAAAGATGCGGATATAGCGTGACGAAAGCTACTTTAAAATACTTTATTTTTGATGTATATTTTTTTAAATCCATAATTTTAGTATAAAAAATTGGGTTAAAATTGACCACAATTTTAATTTTTGAGTTTTTGAATAGGTAACATACCAAGAATCGCTTTCGTCACGCGAGGGGCACCTCTAGGCTATATTTAGTCCAAAGGGCAAGTCGGTAGCTAAAAAAAATACGGCTGGATTTGTGCACGCCACAAAAGAAGTGTACCCGTCGTGTTCGAGGCAAAGAAGACCATCTTCCCCGCGCGAGGGAACTCACAGGTCAAATTGTAGTTTCTTTCATTTCCAATTAGAGGATATTTCGTTCATATAGATGCGATTGGTAGTTTTCTCAAGACAAATAATCTTCTGAACCCTTGCATTTTACAGCATTTCAGAGGTCTGCCCCATTAACAGTATTGGTTTTTCTTGTTGAAGGTAGATGGGCTAGAGAAGGATCAGGTTTTACCTCCTGGCGGGTAGGCTCGTCTTTGTGTGTCAAAGACAGCGCGAGCAGCTGCCGGATGGCCGCGAGGCGCACCTGGGGGATTCAGACCAGAGGATGTTACAACTGTCTCGAGAGCCTCAATGATTACAGCCCAGCCCAGTGAGAAATGTTTGCAACGATATCATTTTCACATCGGTTTTCACGTCGTTAGCGTTTCAAAATTGGCCCTGAAATCGACGATCGACGGCTTTTTCCTACAGTCCGACATAACGACATCGTCTGTCGGATATCCGTCGATTTCAGGGCCACTTTTGTTTCGCTAACAACGTGCATATCGATGCCGAAACGATATTCCCCTGGGAGGAGCGAGGAGCTGGACTGCGCGTGCCTACCCCGTTGGTGGCAATCTGCGCGCTGTTGCAGATGCCGAAGATGCCTATGACGACGGCGCTCATCGCAGTGCCCTGCCAGACCATTTTCTTGTCCCAAATGCCGTGCAGCACTAATGACGTCATGATGAAGGAGATGCACGTGAAGGCCACGAAGAAGAGACCAAGGATCACCGTTTGCAGACGGCCCCAGGAGACGCCCAGCTGGGTCAAGAGCTGCGCCAGGCCCAGCCAGATCTGGCGGTGTGCGCGCAGCCCTTGCGGGCCCAGGCGCTGCAATTGCACAGGCGGAAAGTTACTGAGGGGCTCGCATACTAGGAGTACGTGCGCAGCTGCGTAGAGACGCAGCAATGGGGTATTCAAACATCATATGTGTAGCAGCAGTTGAAAAACAACAAAAATATTGATTGTACTATGTAAAAAGAATCTCATTCAAGAATCGATGATTGAACGCAGATAAAAACATATTTAAGAAGGGGGCTGTATTCTAATTTTCTCTCATATTTATAAACGTTTTGCTTGCAATCCAGTGACCTAGTGCCGAACATGAGGGGAGAGGGAGAGGGAGAGTCGGGCGGGTGCTACAAGAATGGCACCACTAGGTCGGGGCAGGGCCAGTACAATTTACGACCCTTTGCCTCCCTACCCGAAACACAAGCATACAAGCATTCAGACACTTTTTGTGTTTGTACAAAATAAATAAAAGTTATTTTGAGTGTGATCTGCTCAAATCCACAAACAAACTTGTGATGAAAATTCAAGGTATCTACCTGCAGGTCGGCTGGCATCCTGGCGGCGACCTGCGACCCTAAAGCGCCGAGCGCGCTGCAGCACCAAATCCAGAAGATGGTGCTGACCATGACGAAGGCGTTGGCGTGCACCAGCCCGGGCATCATCCACACTCTGTCGTCTGGCAGAACGGACAAGGCCAGCAGCTGCATCAACACGGGCAGGACCAGGCAGCCGAGGCTGTAGATCCGTGCGCGGGTGCGCAGCCCAGGCAGGTGCAGCGGGCCGGTCACCGCGGTGGCGAGAGCCTGCAGGCCGAGCAAGGGTGTAAAGGTGTGCGCGGAGAGAGTGGCAAATATGGCCACTTAAGATGCAAGTTGGTGCGTTGGCGTAGTAACAGATCACGCAGCACAAAAAATCTGCTCTGTAGCTAACTAGTTAGTGATACAGGGTGGCGGTCCATAGACCCCTTCCTTTATTTTGCTTATGCTGTACCGCATGCAGGCGTGCGGGTGGGCTTGCCTACCGGCGCCTTATTGCCCCGTGTGAGTATGCAACCCGCACGCACGCCTCCATGCGGTACAGCACAAGCAAAATAAAGGAAGGGGTCTATGGACCACCCCCTGTATAGCTTAAAAATAGCGGCGCACCAGCCCAATGTTTCCGTGTTGTAAATTATTGTTGAGGAACGGAGCTAATTTTTAGCAACACAGCTTATAAGTTATCTTGTATTTAGCAGTTGGTGTAGCTACTAATCTATGTTTTCCTTTTGGCGCACCTCAACGCGCTGCCAGAGCTCGACGAGCGCCACCGCGCGATTAGCCGTGGCCCAGCACGTGACGGGCAGGAAGACGATGTAGCTCAAGAGGACGACCGTGGCGTACTTGGGTAGCACTTCCCAGACGTGGAAGTGCTTGCCGGTGCCGAGGACGGGGGCGAGGCGGTGACACACCATGGCGTAGTTGATCGCGGACGTGAACAGCCACAGCACGGCCGTCACCAGCATGGTCCACGACAGCCAGCGGAAGCGCACGGTGCGAGTGTCGCGAGACACGGTGACGGGTAGGATGAGCACGAAGCGCAGCGTCCACAGCAGCGGCAGCAGGTCGTCGAACATGGTCGGCGCCCCCCTGACGGTGCCGGGTAACCCACCCTGCCGGAACGGCCATCTCTCTGAGCAAGCAGTGCGTCGTTATGTCCGTCATCGACACCAAAGAGAGCCCACGAGAACGGAACGAACCTGTGGCTGCCATCTGGGCATCCTGCATCAGACCGTCGTTCTTGCGCGGCTTGGAGGTGGCCCAGGACGAGGCGGAAGCCGTTGTCGTTGGCGGCGACCTGGCGCACGTTGCCTCATACATGCGGCCCCTGATCCAGTGCAGGCATGGCCCTGGCCGTCAGGGCGCCCTTCGGCCGAGTGCCGGGCATGCGACACAGTTGCCCCGACGGGCCCCGGTCATCCCCAGGCACTCGGGGCGTCGCGTGAACCTAACAACGCAATTATTAGAGAGACCAGACCATCGAAAGGGCTCTCAAGAGCCCTACGGTCATCATGCTCCCGGGGAGTGCGGCGCCGGGAATTGGGGGAGCGTCCCTGGCGGCGGGGGATGCCGACACGGAGGACTACCCATCCCTGAGGGCGGTGGGTCTGGTCAACCGACCTACGACTTTTACTCGCATCAAATTAAATTGAATCTTAATAAAATTCGCCCTGACTCGAATAGTTGAATTTCACTATTTCGAATGCGAATCGAATCATTCGATGGCAATTTTGGTGGTTCTACAGACCGTAACAACCCCAGAACCCTTAATGCACTTCATTCATGCGCACTTCATTTCGCGTAGAGAATGCACATGAAAGGTGACACATATTGGTGACGCATTAAATGCGTATCGATGCGTTTAGTGCGCATTTAACGCGTCACTTAACGTGCCCCCTTTTTGCTATCGTTCGGCACCCAGGAAAAGGTTTAGCTGTAGCGACAATCGCATGGTTAATTCGGGGACCACCATATGATTGATTTAACATTAAAGCAGTTGTGAAAACTAAAAATGTGGTTTCCATCACGTTGTCATTGTTGTCTCAACTATATTTTATGGTGCTCCCTGAACCAACCATAGTATTATATAAAGTAATATAAATTTCGGTCATGTGGGATCATTAGTGGCGGTGTCGACTACAGGGCAAAGAAAAAGCATTTTTGAGCTGTATTCACTTCATGTTCTGATTTTTATCACAACTAGGGCCAACGTAAAGTGTTGTTGGGGTCCGTACAGTCCCAGCTTGCCCACCCGGACCCACCGTGGCAAGCGAGCACCAGTCCAGTTCAAGCGCTTCGTCTTCCCTGCGAGTTAGAAAATGGGGAAGGGTGCGTTCGACGGGCTACCTTAATCACTCGTCATCCTCCAGCAGCAGGGTGTCCTGGAGTTCCTGAAAGCCTCAGAAGAAGTGCTCCCATGCTCCCATTTTAACCCGTGCCCTACCTTCCTTCGTTTGCAATGTGGCAGGCGTTTCTGAAAAACATTGGTCTCAGGAAAATAAAATAATTGAGTGAACGAGTAACGACGAGTAGACGCGAGTATTTAGCGAGTAGACGCGAGTACTGGTAAGTAAGCGCGAGTACTGGTAAGTAAGCGCGAGTATTGGATAGTAGGCATGAGTATTTTTGAGTGTATAGGCTACACACAAAGTCTATCGAAATGGGGGGCCCCTCAGACCAAGCCGCGGTTTCATTTAAAAATTCACTTTTCATGAATGTAGAATCATTTGTTCATCTTTGACCTCAGCTCACACCTGCCTAGGTGACAGGCGACCTACCTATACTAATACATTTTTTGCCGACCCTGCCAACTGTACCGGGTGTGACTGAGAATGCGCAACAGTGTTGCGGGTTTGCCTACCCAGTTAGCCCGTAAGGCGCCATGGCCTCTGCAGCTCTGGCGGGTATGCAATCCCGCAACACTGTTGCGCATTCTCAGTTACACCCAGTAGTTTTTGAGATATGGCAACTGTTTCATGGGCATGGCCCCTTGTCTCCCTACAAAATTATTATGCGGACACCGAAAAGAATTGGACACTGCAACGAGCATAGTAATTGTGCTACTTTTAGAGATCGTCTAGAGAGTACACCCGTTTCTTATATTCATTCGATCAATTCGGAAAATTACGATAGGTATCGGCGCCTGTCAGAATCAGGGTAGGCCACCCCACAGTACGCGCATGCACCAAATGCAAGATGTTGCCTACCCACTAGGCGCTACGATACCTGTGATTAGCTGAACTTTGCAATTTCGTAACGGCAAATGAGGAACGTACTTTATGGATGATTCCCGCCACAATGAGAGCGACATTTTATGTTACAATGTGTTTATTTCCAGGGGTGCGTAACTTGTAACTTGACTGCCCTCAACTATTTTAGGAGTTGAGTTAACAACTGTAACTTTTATTATAGTCCTTTGGAAGTTTTCGGAACGTGTAGTAACCATCATTCCTTCGTGTTCTAATGAGCTACGCAGCCCTGTTTTATTCCTTATCGCGAAATTAATTTTGTGTTCCGCGAATGTCTTGTTTAATTTTCTGCGGTGTTGCTCGCTGCCGCCGCTATGATCACGAGCCCCCGACCTGCAGCCTCCGGGAAGGAACGCAAAGCCAGGCCGCCGCAGCCGAGCACGCCTCGCTCAAGGACGCGCCGCCGCCCGAGCCGAGTGATAATATTATGATGAGACGTAGGCGCGCGCCTGCGCCACCGCCGGGAGCTGCGTCCAGCTGCGTGGGTGTCTTGTGGGTGTCTGTAGCCGTCGCCTTGGTTTGGCGCGGGGACAGTGTGAACGGGTGAACATTCATAACGTAGGCTGTAGTAGGCTAAATCAGGTTCGGTGGGTGATTACTTTATTGTTTTCGGGTCGGGTTGTACACGGGGCACACAATAAGGGGAATTCACTGCGATCATGTGTTTTCTATGACAAGGTCGGCCGGCAGCTTGTCGAACTTCGTCCTGGAGGTTTCCGAGGAGAGGGTGAACTGGGAGAGCACGACGACGTACGTACAGGCCAGCGAGAAGAACTGCAACGGAGGAAGTGTGTTCACAACAGTTTGACCCCCGATGATAACACTCCAGCCCAATCACATCAAATTCGTGTAAGGGCTTACTCCATTTTACCACAATTTTGCAACAATAATCTTGCTCTGGAAGGCACTATTACTATTTCACTTTTAAGGGTCCCACCCTGGAAACTCCAGTGTGCACGTAAAAAAATAAAATTCAGTTCCGTGCAAATCGGTTTAACTGCACAATTTTACAGCCGTGCAAAAAAAACAAAAAAACAAAAAACAAACGAAAAAGCTGGATGTAAAAATATTTAGCTGTACAGCTAAGTGTCATAAGCTACACGGTTAATAAACGGTACGGTTTACTGGATGGCTAAAAAATTAGCCGTGGTGCTAAATAAATTAGCCGAGGCTATTCAGTTATTTTTTATTACTCTGTCAACTCAAATGTGTACATAGTACACATTAAAGAAAGTGTACATGGCATGTATGCTTTTATTAATGTGTACATGGCTATGTACACATTTATAAATGTGTACATGGCTATGTACACATTTATTAATGTGTACATAGGCATGTACACATTAAAAGATGTGTACATGGCATATACAGGGTGGTTCACAGACCCCTTCCTTTATTTTGCTTATACTGTACCGCATGCAGGCGTGCGGATGGGTTGCATACTCGCACGGGGTCATAAGGCGCCCATAGTGAGCGACAATAGGCAAGCCCGCCCGCACGCATGCATGCGGTACAGTATAAGCAAAATAAAGGAAGGGGTCTGTGGACCACCCTGTATACTAACGGTTGTATGTACACTTTAAAAGATGTGTACATGGGCATGTACACATTTATAAACGTGTACATGGGCATGTACACATTTATAAATGTGTACATAGCCATGTACACATTAATTAAAGCATACATGCCATGTACACTTTCTTTAATGTGTACTATGTACACATTTGAGTTGACAGAGTAGCAGTGGTGCTAAAAACTTAGCAGAGCCACGAATTTTTTTTGTGCGTGTGGTACAGTTTAACAGTTATAACTGCAATACCATCTGTATCAAACTTAAACATATAGTACCATATAATTGATCACACTTAAAATTTACACTTAAAAGTGTGATAAATGTAACGTGACTCACACCGTGAGTCAGGACCACGACACAACGGTGTGCTTAGGATACATCCTAGGGACCATGGGTCATGGTGCCTTACGGGTAGAGCGAGTAGGCAAAACATACTGTTGTGTTTGCATATATGCAAACCCGCAATACTGTTGTGCAGTAGACCTGACCCACCGTTCAAAAACTTTTAAGTGTGATGTGGTATTGATTGCACTTACAATTGTAGTTGGAATGTATCACACTTGAGATTCCAGAGCAGGCATGGTTTGGGCTATTGAAACACAAGCGGACACGACCTTTCTAATAGAAACAATCCTGGTGTCATACATGGTTTCGATACCTTAGACTGCCAAAGGGAAGGTTTTCCGGTGATACAGTCAGATGTCAATAGTGCTTTAAAGTGTTGTTGTTTGGACCCCTAGATAAGGTTTTGCAATGGTTTTAGTTGCCCATAGGGTGTTTGAAGGTCGTTGTACGCGAATGTAATTGAAAATTCAACAAATTTACAGCCTGATTATCAACTTGACATGCACATATCTCAAGAACCGTTTGAGCAACAGCGCCCAGATTTTGAAGGAAATCATAACTCAGCACGTTCTTTACTTGAAGAAAATTTGAACGAAATCGAATATGGTCGCAAAAACGGGTTCTAAGAGGAGGTTACGACCCTGGACCCCTCTTGGTGACCCGCACTGATTTTGTTCAAATATTTAAGTGCTTACTGGAAGATTATACTTTCTGCAAAATCTGGGCGCTGTAGCACAAACGGTTCCGGAGTTATGTGCATGCAAAGATGGCGATAAAATAATAAATTTAGGTAATTTTTGATCAAACTCGCGTAAAATGACCATCAAATTCCCTACGGACAGGTAAAACCATGTGCCAAACCCTATCTAGAGGTGCAGACAACTACACTTTAAAGCGCCTTTAAAATCTAACTATATCACCGGAAAACCTTTCTCTTGTGAAAGGCACGCAGTTCAGCCGTGCGTTCCGAAAGACACGCAGTTCAGCTGCCCGTTCCAGGACTAATGCAGTTCAGCCGCTCGCACCGAAAGACATGCAGTTTACCGTAACTTATGGTAAGTTACGGACCCCTGCTTTAGGATACGTGGTGGTCCTACCGAGAGCAAGGACGCACGGCTAAGGCCACCTAGCTTGCAGACCGTGAGGTGATGTCGCTCGAGTCGAATGTCGTCCAAGAAGCAAATAATCTGGAAAAATCAAACCCATTAGCAGATAATTTTGAATAGGCCGCGGATGTTAACAGTACTGGTTTGCTTTGTGAAAGGTAACTGGGCTAGAGAGGAGTGAATTTTACTTCGTGGCAGGTAGGCTCGTCCTTGTGTGTCACGGACAGCGCAAGCAGCTGCCGGATGGCGGCGAGGCGTACCTGGAGGATTCAGACCAGAGGCTGTTACACATGTCTCGAGAGCCTCACTTTCTGGGGCTGGACTGAGCGCCTACCCCGTCGGTGGCAATCTGCGCCCCGTTGCAGATGTTGAAGATGGATATGACGACGAAGAACACGGCCGTGCCCAGCCACACCAATCGCTTGTCCCAGATGCCGTGAAGCACATATGCCGTTATAACGAAGGATATCGAAGTGATGGCCAAGAAGAGGATGGCGAGGAGCAGCGTTTGAAGACGACCCCACGCGACGCCCAGCTGGTTCAGGAGCTGCGCCAGGGCCAGCCAGATCTGTCGGTGCGCGCGCAGCCCTTGCGGGCCCATGCGCTGCACAGGCGGAGGGTTACCAAGCAGCCAAGCATGTCTTATGGAAGAAACACATGGAACCTTCTTGGTTTTTCCAAAACTGCTTGAAAACCAAGACGTTGTTTTTGGCCGTGTGCAAGTGTGCGGGTCGTGCGGGTGGTGAGCGCAGGCAAGCCCCTCTCTCACCTGCGTGCTGCTGTACAATATAAGCAAAGCAAAGAAAGGGGCCAGTGGCCCATACTTATACACTAAATCCTTATGTATTTTGTTGTGCAGAAACATGTAGAATTTTACTCTGCCATAAAAAAATGCACCACTATGCACAAATTGTACACAGTTATAAACAAATTTGTGCAGAAATTTATGGCTGCGTAAAATTCTACATGTTTACGCACAGCAAAAAAAAACAACAAAACAACAACGACATTATGTTCCCCTTGCCAGGGCCGCCAGCACCTGCATTTGGACATTGGACATTCCAAAACTTTGAGTCGCCCTACCTGCAGGTCAGCTGGCATCCTGGCAGCGATCAGCGATCCAAAAGCACCGAGCGCGATGCAGCAGCAGAGCCAGAAGCTGGTGCCGACCATGAGGAAGGCGATCGAGTGCAACATCGCGGGAAGCATCCACAACCTCTCGTGGGGCAGGACGAACATGGCCAGCGACTGCATCAACACGGGCAGGACCAGGCTGCCGAAGCTGTAGACCCGCGCGCGGGTGCGCAGCCCAGGCAGCTGCAGTGGGCCGGTCACCGCCGTGGCGAGAGCCTGCTGGCCGAGCGAGGGCGCATGTACAGGTGTATGGAGAGGATGTCAAAGTAAAGTTGCAAGTTAGTGCGTAAAGGTGTGTGGAGAGGATGTCAAAGTAAAGTTGCAAGTAAGTGCGTAAAGGTGTGTGGAGAGGATGTCAAAGTAAAGTTGCAAGTTAGTGCGGTTGTTCCTGGTAGGGCGCTCACTCATGTAGTTATGTTGTACCGCAAAGCACGAGTGACGGCGTGCCTGCCCGTCGCGCTTGGTGCTTGCCTATCGCACCTTCCACGGCGCATAGGGCCGAGTTAGACGCAGAAAAAAATTCGTGGCTCTGCTAAGTTTTTAGCACCGGGGGCTAAAAAAATTACTGAATAGACACGGCTAATTTATTTAGCACCAGAGCTAAATTTTAGCCATCCAGTTAACCGTGTAGCTAATGACACTTTAGCTATACAGCTAAATATTTTTACATCCAGCAATTTTTTTTGCACGGGTGTGAAATTGTGCAGTTAAACCGATTTCCACGGAACTGAATTTTTTTTCTCGTGTAGGAAGCCAAACTACCCAACCGCACTCCCGCACTCGTGCATGCGGTGCAGCATAACTACAGAAGTAGTGCGGGTTAATCAGCCACTTGGTTTATTAATTGACAGCTAAAAAAGGCGACTGAGAAAGGGGACTTATGCAGGTGTTTAGTTAGTCCCCGATTTTGTTTCGCCTTGGGGGTTTTCAAGGGGGGCCGTATACCAAATGATTGCCGAAGAAAATTCGTGCTAAATTTGATATCTTGGTCATACAAGAAATCCATTTTCTCAAGAAATGACTAAAAGTCGACGTTTTTTGTTGTTGTTTGGAAAATCCAAAAATGATACTCAGTTGATATTCACCCACAAGAAATCTACGTTTAGCAATAGTCCCATCATTGTGAGAATAGATATACATAGTCACCACACCCAGAAAAATCGTTTCTTGTTTCAAGTAAATTTGTCCTTGTTTCAAGTGCACGCTGACGCAAGATCAAATTTACTCGTGAAGCAAGCTGATATTTTCTTTGGAATAAGAGAAAAATCTTATTCCAAAGACAAAATTGGCTTGTTTCAAGGGTGAATTTCATCTTGTGTCAGCGTGCACTTGAATCAAGAAACTATTTTTCTGGGTGCAGATAACAACCTCAACGCGCAGCCAGAGCTCGACGAGCGCCACGCAGCGGTCCGCCGTGGCCCAGCAAGCGACGGGCAGGAAGAAGATGTAGCTCATGCCGATGGCCGTGGAGTACTGGGGCACCACGTCCCAGACGTGGAAGTGCTTGCCGGTGCTGAGAACGGGGGCGAGACGGACCCGCACCACGGCGCAGGTGATCGCGGACGTGAGCATCCACAGCACGGCCGTCACCAGCGTGGTCCACGACAGCCAGCGGAAGCGCACGGTGCGAGTGTCGCGAGACACGGTCACGGGTAGGATGAGCACGAAGCGGAGCGTCCACAGCAGCGGCAGCAGGTCGTCGAACAAGGTCGGCGCCGCGCTGGCCCCGCGCGGGACGGGCAAGGGTACACCGCCTTGCAGGAGCGGCCAGCCCTCTGGGCAAGCAGTGCGCCATTAGTATGTCCGTCACCGACACCAAAGAGATCACCAGCACTATTAAACGTTTCTGGGGATCTCCCGAAGATTTACTCTCACCATACTACTAGAAATTCCCAGAGGACTCCATTCTTCCAAGAAGACTTATAGGCAAGTGTAAATTCCCGATCGTACCCAAACTCGGTATACTTGCTTCTTATCTATTTGGGTGACAAATGTCGACGAATTTTTTCCCTAAGTGTCATATGCTAAAAATCCCTTTAAAAACGTATAATTTCGAAAAACACAAATTTCAACTTTTGTACAAATATTAAGTGTTATTCTGACTCAATATGAGTGGTTTTGGGGGGGTTAATTTCTGTACCACTTTTCGATTTGAGACCTCCTTCCGTCATTTTTGGACCAAATTCAATACTTTTTCCATTATTTGCTCCCCTAAAGTACCCTAGAAATTGGCACTCAGGAAAAAATTCTGTCACTCGTCATCAGCACAGATAAGAAACAAATACACCGAGTTAGGGCAAGATCGGGAATTTACTCTAGCTTAATAAGTCCCCTTGTTAGTTTTCATGTCGTGAAACAGCTATATTGGAGTTAGCGGAGTTATTAGTCGTCTATGTGTTTCGATCAAGGTTCCGATGCTAGACTAAACACGCGAAATCTGGCCTACGGAACGGAGTCCTTTTGGAAAACCCCAAAGGACTTTGACGATATTTTTCACGAGCGTTTCTCCGTGAAATCCCAGAATTTTTTCTAACATACACTGTGAGAAAAGTAGGTAGGTTTACAGGAAAATTTTCCTTGACGCAAGTTGTAAAATTACAATTTGTAATCGTAAAAATACATGCAGTATGTATCGACTTCAAATCCCTTGGCGAGTAAAAAATGGGCTGTCGTAAATTTACAAGTTAAATTATAATTCGAGTTTACAAATATTTTGTAAATTTACGATACTTTTCACAGTGTATGCGACAACAACGTCACGCACCTGTGGCTGCAAGCTGCCGCTGGACATTCCGCAAGAGAACGGCGTTCTTGTCCGGTTTGATGGCGGTCCAGGACGGGGTGGGGGCCGGCTGTGGCCGCCGCGGGGGCAGCGCCCCTCTGGGCAGCGCCCTGGTGGACATTGCCTCATGCCTCCGGCCGCTGCTCGGGCCGCTACTCCGGCCCGGCGCGCCCTTCGCAGGGCAGTGCAGGCCATGGCCCTGGCTTTGGCCAACAGGGCGTCCCGCGGACGAGTGACGGGCACGCGACACGCCGACAGCTGCCCCCGAGGGGCTCCGGAGGGTCACAACCCTATGAGCGAGCCGCGAGGGGCGACAACAGCACCGTGGCGTCGCGTGAGCACCGCTGAGCAATTAGAGAGGCCGCCAGAGAGGCCGCCGAAAGCGCGCCGGCATGTCAGAAACAGGTGGTCGAAAATGCGACTATTTTCGATGTTGATATACTGGCCCAAACGGGAAAAATGTTCTACCTAAAGGAGATGTAAGATTTTCTGTGGTTAAAAACGAATCAAATATTCGGATATTATCCTCTGGTCTAAAGAACAGCTTAGTAATTGCCTTGAACATTTAGGAAAAGCGTGATTTCTAATTCCTGTGTCTATTATTGGAGGCGACTCTGTCAATACACTGAAGGAGCACACCACCGTCTCCTGGCGTCTTACTCTGAATTTGTGCCGAGTGAAAAGGGATCGTCCATAAAGTACGTCCGTCAGTCGCCGTGACGAACCTGCTAAGTTCACCCTCTGCTAGCTCTCATAACGTCTGAGTATGTAGGCAACATCTTGCCTGTAGTACATGCGCGTACGGCGGGGTGGCCTACCCCGAGTCTCGCAGGCGCCAAGCTTTCGTAATTTGCCGAAATGTAGCAGTGGAAAACGGACGTACTTTCAGGACGATCCCAGAGAGGGTCAAATACTTATCTACAGTAGGCCGATGTTCATGAATGAAGTTTGACGACTATTGCCATTGAAATTTCTGGACTAAAACAGAAGTTCAAAGAAATTCTCGTTGGAGTCCCAAAGTTCAGATGTAATTTTGATCTGCACTCATAAAATTATACTACATCGTGTACATCACAAAACGCAAACATTAAAATATGAAAGCACTCACAACTTATCTAGACGACCTGCGTGCGTAATACCTCTCTGAAGCATGACTTATTTATAGAAGTAAAGGGTCGTAATGTTTCCAAACACTTGTTCTTCGCCCCGTGCGACAGCCAGAATCCATTCTATAGGATCTCATCATCTTCGCGGTAAATGATGTGCGTGCCTGTGTTTGTTCGTGTGGCTTTACAATTACACAGGAGGCGAGCTCAGCGACAGATTATCCACGACTTGTGCGGTTCAGCATATGGGAGAAGCGAAAGAGGAGGGGAGAAGGAGGGGGATTTGGGGG